CCTGGGGAACAGACAGAAAGACACACACACAAACTCCCTCTCTTAGGGTACATCTAGACTACAGGCTTTTGTCGACAGAAGTTTTGTCGACAGATACTGTCGACAAAGCTTCTGTCGACAAAGAGCGTTTAGACTACATTCACCTCTGTCGACAAAGCAAGCTGCTTTGTCGACAAAACCGTGTAGTCTAGACACAACCCTAGATGCAATAACACCTTCTGTCGACAGAACTCTGTCGACAAAAGGCGTTATGCCTCGTAAAATGAGGTTTACCAGCGTCGACAAAACTGCTGAGTTCTGTCGACGTTATGCCGACAGAGTTTTGTCAACAAAAGTCCACTTTTGTCGCCAAAACTCTAGTCTAGACACACCCTTAGATGTATAGTAGATAGCTATCCTTTTCTCCAACCCTGCCCTTGGTTGTCCCAATGGGGTTATATACAGTATAACTATTCCTGCTACCAGAACCCTCCCTTTCCATGTTATGAGAAACAGTCACATTCCAGACACTTCCCATTGTCCTGGAATAACCAAGTCCTTACCTTGCTTTAAGTTATGATAAGAGGAAGTTGCATACAAAATTTGGTGGTCCTAGCTCTTACTGTTTAGGAGTTCTTGAACAGACAGACACACAGAAAGACAGATGGGCAAACTTTCTCAAATATACAGTAGTTTACCAGTGCAAGCTTGGACATTATATGTGTGAAAGCATGGCTGTGCAAGCAGTTTATGACAAAGTGATTCTTTAACAGTGGGAAAGTTTGTGGTCTTTTACTAAGGGCCTTTTTCCGAGATTTGCTGGTTACAGGAAGATGGTCTCTGTCAGTGCAACACAGGAAACTGCCTAGGATTCATTCACTTTGTCCTCCACAGAATAGCACCTACCCCTGAGGTGAAGGCCATTGTAGTAAGTACCACTGTACAGCAGGGAGTGAACCTGTACACTGCAGAACCTGCACAATGAGTTTATCTAAAAATAATTTAACTGGGTGGGAATTAAGTAACTCAGTCTGTGAAATGTCCTGAAATTGTGGTGATTTAAAAAAAGCCGGGCAAGCCAACCAGTCCCCAACAAGCTGAATTCCAGATAGAAAGGGAGAACACACAATAACACAGAGTGTATTTTGAGAAGCTGCATGCTGGGTATGTACATTGCATACATACACATGCAATTGTGAAAGCACATGACAGCACGATATTCAGGAGGGGGATTGGGTCCTGTTGACTTCAATTGCGCTGTTTATAAGAGCAAGGGTTGCAAAATAGGGCTTTTAGTTTTAAAAATGATTTTCCTGTGAGTTCAGTGACCTAGGCGCCTCGCTAATTGAAGAAGGATCCTTTGTTAAAATGCCCATTAAAACCCTTTGCCTCGCCTATTAGTTCCAAATGGTACAAATTGTCTTGCTTGTCATTTTCTAGGTTGTTTGGCAGACCTTTGGGCACCTCCTATTAACGATAGTTGTGCAAGCGATGAGTGGCCCCCAGAGCTGCACTGCTTATATGCAATGTCTCTAGCTTTCCTACAACAAGAGGACCTGGTTTGTAGAAACTCTGAGAGCCCAACCAAATAAGGAGCTGAGCTTTTGCTACAAGATGTAGAAGTCTCTCAGTTCCCTGTGGGAGTAGAGAGGGCTCAGGACTAACCAAGACTGGAAGTATAATTTCCTAATTTAAGATTTGTTTCTAAATTCAGTGATTATTTAGCAATACGAAGACTTAATAAAACATGTGTACTCTAATCTTGACATATTATTGTGAATTCAATAAGACACATACATCATGTTAATATATCACTGCAAGCAGGTTTGCAGAAATTTTGGTGGTGCCCAGAAAGCCAAGAACCCAAACCGCTCCCTCATCCAAACTCCCCCTTACATCTGCCTGAAGGCTCAGTTTGTTTGGTAGGCTTTCTCCTTCTGATGTACTTAAAAAATGTTGCTATTACTTTTTGAGTTTTTGCCTAGCTGTTCGTCTTCCTTTTTGGCCTTCATAATTATATTTTTACGCTTTTTTGCCAGAGTTTATGCTCCTTTCTATTTTGCTCATTAGGATTTAATTTCCACTTTTTAAACTATGCTTTTTTATTTCTCACTGCTTCTTTTACTTGGTTGTTAAGCCATGGTTGCACTTTTTTTGGTTCTCATACTGTGTTTTTTTTAATCTGAGGCATACATTTAAATTAAGGCCTTACTGTGGTGTCTTTGAGACATTTCCATGCAGCTTGCAGAAATTTCACTTTTGACGCTGTATCTTTTAATTTCTGTTTAACTAGTGTCCTCATTTTGTGTAGTTCCCCTTTCTGAAATATAATGCCACAGTGTTGGGCTGCTGAGGTGTTTTTCCCATCATAGGGATGTTAAAACTTTTATTATTTTATGGTCACTATTTCCAAGCAGTCTAGTTATATTTACCTCTTGAACCAGATCCTGCACTCCACTTAGGACTAAATCAAGAATTGCCTCTCCTCTTATGGGTTCCAGAACTAGCTGCTCCAAGAAGCAGTCATTTGAGGGGTCAAGACGCTTTATCTCTGCGTCCCATCTGAGGTGATGTGTACCCAGTCTGTATGAGAAGAGTTGAAATCCCCCACTATTATTGAGTTTTTAATTTTTATAGTTTCTCTAATCTTCCTTAGTTTCACAGTCACTATCACCATCTTGGTCAGGTGATCGGTAATATATACCTACTGCTAATTTTTTATTATTTAGAGAATGGAATTACTATCCATAGAGCTTCTATGTTACAATTTGGTTCATTTAAGATTTTTACTTCATTTCATTCTATGCTTTCTTTCACATACAGTGCCATTCCTCCACCAGCATGACCTGTTCTGTCCTTCCAATATATTTTGTACCTTGGTATGACTGTGTCCTATTGATTATCCTCATTCCATCAAATTTCTGTGATGCTTATTATATCAATATCATCCTTAAATATGAAGCACTCTAGTTTACCCATATTATTATGTAGACTTCTCGGGTTTGTATATAAGCACTTAAAAAACTTACCACTTTTTAGATATGCGACTGCATAGAATCATAGGGTTGGAAGAGACCCCTGGGGGTCATTGAGTCTAACCCTCTGCCAGACAAGACCAACCCCAAATAAATCATCCCAACCAGGGCTTTGTCAAGCCTGGCCTTAAAAACCTTTAGGAATGGAGATTCGACTACCTCCTTAAGTAGCCCATTCCAGTGCTTCACCACCCTCCTAGTGAACCAGTTTATCCTAATATCCAATCTAGACCTACCCCGATGCAACTTGAGAGCATTGCTCCTTGTTCTCCCATCTGTCACTACTGAGAACAGCCTCTCTCCATCCTCTGGTAGCTGAAGGCTGCTATCTCAATCTTCTCTTCTGTAGACTAAATAATCTCAAAATCCCTCAGCCTCTCCTCATAAATCATGTGCCTCATCCCCCTAATCATGTTTGTTGTCCTCTGCTGGGCTTTCTCCAATGCATCCACATCCTTTCTCTAATGGAGGTCCCAGAATTAGATGCAGTACTCCAAATGTGGTCTCACCGGAGCCAAATAAAGGGGAATAATCACTTCTCTAGGCCTCCTGGCAATGCTTCTTCTAATGCAACCTAATATACTGTTAGCCTTCTTGGCTACAAGGGCACACTGTTGATTCATATCCAACTTCTCATTCACTGTAATGCCAAGTCTTTTTCTGCTGAACTGCTGCTTAGCCAGTTGGTCCCCAGTCTGTAACAGTGCTTGAGATTCTTCCATCCCAAGTGCAGGTCTCTGCACTTGTCTTTGTTGAACCTCCTCAGATTTCTTTTGGCCCAATCCTCCAATTTGTCTAGGTCACTCTGGTCCCTGTCCCTACCCTCTAACATATCTACCTCTCCCCCTAGCTTAGTGTCATCTGCGAACCTGCTGCGGGTGCAATCCATCCCCTCCTCCAGGTCATTAATAGAGATGTTGAACAAAACTGGCCCCAGAACCGACCCACTTGATATCGAACGCCAACAAGACATCGAGCCGTTGATCACTACCCGTTGCACCCAACAATCCAGCCAGCTTTCTGTTCAGTTTAAAATCCATTTATCCAATCCATACTTCCTTAGCTTGCTGGCAAGAAAACTGTGGGAGACCATATTAAAAGCTTTGCTAAAGTCAAGGTATATCACATCCACCTCCTTCCCCATGATGAGATTGAATGAGACGCTTTTTCATTTGGCTGTTTCTCATCAGATCTTATGTGTATTTTATCATCTTCCATCCTCTCCTCTTTACTAGGACATAGAGAATCTCCATTAATAGACTCTCCCCTAAGGGATGTCTCTATCTGACCCATGTACTCCTCTGCCCCTGTCAGCTTTCTCCCAGCTTTTAGTTTAAAAACTGCTCTACGACCTTTTTAATTTTAAGTGCCATCAATCTGATTCTATTTTGTCTTAGGTGAAGCTCATCCTTCCTGTATAGGCTTCCCCTTTCCCAAAAGATACCCCAGTTCTTAATAAATCTAAATCCCTCCTCCCTAAACCATTGGTCTCATCCAGGCACTCCCCTAAGGGATGTCTCTATCTGACCCATGTACTCCTCTGCCCCTGTCAGCTTTCTCCCAGCTTTTAGTTTAAAAACTGCTCTACGACCTTTTTAATTTTAAGTGCCATCAATCTGATTCTATTTTGTCTTAGGTGAAGCTCATCCTTCCTGTATAGGCTTCCCCTTTCCCAAAAGATACCCCAGTTCTTAATAAATCTAAATCCCTCCTCCCTAAACCATTGGTCTCATCCAGGCATTGAGACCCTGCAGTTCTGCCTGTCTAACTGGGCGTGTGTGTGAAACTGGAAGTATTTCAGAGAATGCTATCACACAGATCCTGGATTTCAGTTTCTTACACAGCAGCATAAATTTGCCCTCCAGGACCTCTCTCCTATCCTTCCCTGTGTCACTAGTACCTACATGTACCATGACCTCCAGCTCCTGCCCAGCACTACCCATAAGTCTATCTTGATGTCTCAAGAGAGAGCCACAACCCTCGTACCAGGCAGGCAAACCACCATGCAGTTCTCCTGGTCATCACAAACCCAGCTGCCCATGTTTCTAATGGTCAAAGATGTGGAGAAATTGGAAAGGGTACAGAGAAGAGCGACAAGAATGATTAAAGGTTTAGAGAACATGTCCTATGAAGCCAGGCTTCATGAACTGGGCTTGTTTAGTTTGGAAAAAAGAAGATTAAGGGGGGACATGATAGCGGTTTTCAAATATCTAAAAGGGTGTCACAAGGAGGAAGGAGAAAATTTGTTCCTCTTGGTTTCTGAGGACAGGACAAGGAGCAATGGGCTTAAAGTGCAGCAGGGGAAGTTTAGATTGGACATTAGGAAAAAAATCCTAACTGTCAGGGTGGTCAAATATTGGAATAAATTGCCAAGGGAGGTGGTGGAATCTCCCTCTCTGGAGATATTTAAGAACAGGTTAGATAGACATCTGTCAGGGATGGTGTAAGTGGAGCTTGGTCCTGCCTTGAGGGCGGGGGGCTGGACTCGATGACCTCTCGAGGTCCCTTCCAGTCCTATTATTCTATGATAAGATTTCATGGGCAAAGACCCACTTTGTCAGATCATACATCTGATGAAGTGGGTCTTTGCCCACGTAAGCTTACGCTCCGATAATACATCGGTTAGTCTATACGGTGCTACAGGACTCCTTGTCGCTTTTGCAGATCCAGACTAACACGGTGACCCCTTTGATACCTAACTCACTCAGTTACTTCGGAGCCAGCTGTGCCCATGTGGGTTGTGTTGTGCAAGGAGTACAGGCCACATCTCCCATACCTGCTGATCGCTAATGAATCGGATCAGCTGCAGCTTCTCTCTTCCTGTTTTTAATTCATCGACAGTCCTAGCTTTGTGCCACTGTTTTACCTGCACTACGGGAACACTGCAGCTGGACTTGGCTGATTTTGACAGGCCTATTGTGTGTTTACTAGCCAGGAAAATAAAGTTAAAATTGGGGTACATGGTGTCAGCCCAGAAATACAGCCCCCACCCGTCTGGGAGTGACACCTTTTAATCTCAAAACAGTAGCAGGGATGTGTCATTTGGGGCAAACCAACATTTTGACACATGCAGTGAGCCACAACCCAGGTCTTTATCAGAGCTGACAGCACCGTGCACCGAAAGGAAGTGTTGGGGGAGGAAGGGGCAGGTCTTAGTACTTGCCAAACCATTGGGGCCTTGCAGAGATGGGGTACGCCGTGATCCAACCTTATTTGGCCAGAGCCAGGCACAGCCCAGCTTCTAGATTAACGACCAGATTCCATTTGCAATCACGTCAGAACAGGCCCCGGAAGCCCCCTCGGGCCTTGTGCTCGGATCACTAAGCTTAGTGGGCACCCCCTCCCCAGATCCCTGTACCCAGTCAAGGAGCAGCACGCGGCAGAGCAACGGGGCCCGGCCTAGTGGGAGGCAGAGGCCGCAAGGCTCAGCATCCTGCTGTAATCACGCGACCATGCTCCCTTCCGGCGGGCCAGCATTCTGGCCTCTTGCCTCACCCCACCTGCGAAGCTCCTGCACACACGTCTGAGCGCTCAGTGCGCCGGGGGCGGGGCCTGCAGGACGTGAAGAAAAGCAAACTTTCTCAAATATACAGTAGTTTACCAGTGCAAGCTTGGACATTATATGTGTGAAAGCATGGCTGTGCAAGCAGTTTATGACAAAGTGATTCTTTAACAGTGGGAAAGTTTGTGGTCTTTTACTAAGGGCCTTTTTCCGAGATTTGCTGGTTACAGGAAGATGGTCTCTGTCAGTGCAACACAGGAAACTGCCTAGGATTCATTCACTTTGTCCTCCACAGAATAGCACCTACCCCTGAGGTGAAGGCCATTGTAGTAAGTACCACTGTACAGCAGGGAGTGAACCTGTACACTGCAGAACCTGCACAATGAGTTTATCTAAAAATAATTTAACTGGGTGGGAATTAAGTAACTCAGTCTGTGAAATGTCCTGAAATTGTGGTGATTTAAAAAAAGCCGGGCAAGCCAACCAGTCCCCAACAAGCTGAATTCCAGATAGAAAGGGAGAACACACAATAACACAGAGTGTATTTTGAGAAGCTGCATGCTGGGTATGTACATTGCATACATACACATGCAATTGTGAAAGCACATGACAGCACGATATTCAGGAGGGGGATTGGGTCCTGTTGACTTCAATTGCGCTGTTTATAAGAGCAAGGGTTGCAAAATAGGGCTTTTAGTTTTAAAAATGATTTTCCTGTGAGTTCAGTGACCTAGGCGCCTCGCTAATTGAAGAAGGATCCTTTGTTAAAATGCCCATTAAAACCCTTTGCCTCGCCTATTAGTTCCAAATGGTACAAATTGTCTTGCTTGTCATTTTCTAGGTTGTTTGGCAGACCTTTGGGCACCTCCTATTAACGATAGTTGTGCAAGCGATGAGTGGCCCCCAGAGCTGCACTGCTTATATGCAATGTCTCTAGCTTTCCTACAACAAGAGGACCTGGTTTGTAGAAACTCTGAGAGCCCAACCAAATAAGGAGCTGAGCTTTTGCTACAAGATGTAGAAGTCTCTCAGTTCCCTGTGGGAGTAGAGAGGGCTCAGGACTAACCAAGACTGGAAGTATAATTTCCTAATTTAAGATTTGTTTCTAAATTCAGTGATTATTTAGCAATACGAAGACTTAATAAAACATGTGTACTCTAATCTTGACATATTATTGTGAATTCAATAAGACACATACATCATGTTAATATATCACTGCAAGCAGGTTTGCAGAAATTTTGGTGGTGCCCAGAAAGCCAAGAACCCAAACCGCTCCCTCATCCAAACTCCCCCTTACATCTGCCTGAAGGCTCAGTTTGTTTGGTAGGCTTTCTCCTTCTGATGTACTTAAAAAATGTTGCTATTACTTTTTGAGTTTTTGCCTAGCTGTTCGTCTTCCTTTTTGGCCTTCATAATTATATTTTTACGCTTTTTTGCCAGAGTTTATGCTCCTTTCTATTTTGCTCATTAGGATTTAATTTCCACTTTTTAAACTATGCTTTTTTATTTCTCACTGCTTCTTTTACTTGGTTGTTAAGCCATGGTTGCACTTTTTTTGGTTCTCATACTGTGTTTTTTTTAATCTGAGGCATACATTTAAATTAAGGCCTTACTGTGGTGTCTTTGAGACATTTCCATGCAGCTTGCAGAAATTTCACTTTTGACGCTGTATCTTTTAATTTCTGTTTAACTAGTGTCCTCATTTTGTGTAGTTCCCCTTTCTGAAATATAATGCCACAGTGTTGGGCTGCTGAGGTGTTTTTCCCATCATAGGGATGTTAAAACTTTTATTCTTTTATGGTCACTATTTCCAAGCAGTCTAGTTATATTTACCTCTTGAACCAGATCCTGCACTCCACTTAGGACTAAATCAAGAATTGCCTCTCCTCTTATGGGTTCCAGAACTAGCTGCTCCAAGAAGCAGTCATTTGAGGGGTCAAGACGCTTTATCTCTGCGTCCCATCTGAGGTGATGTGTACCCAGTCTGTATGAGAAGAGTTGAAATCCCCCACTATTATTGAGTTTTTAATTTTTATAGTTTCTCTAATCTTCCTTAGTTTCACAGTCACTATCACCATCTTGGTCAGGTGATCGGTAATATATACCTACTGCTAATTTTTTATTATTTAGAGAATGGAATTACTATCCATAGAGCTTCTATGTTACAATTTGGTTCATTTAAGATTTTTACTTCATTTCATTCTATGCTTTCTTTCACATACAGTGCCATTCCTCCACCAGCATGACCTGTTCTGTCCTTCCAATATATTTTGTACCTTGGTATGACTGTGTCCTATTGATTATCCTCATTCCATCAAATTTCTGTGATGCTTATTATATCAATATCATCCTTAAATATGAAGCACTCTAGTTTACCCATATTATTATGTAGACTTCTCGGGTTTGTATATAAGCACTTAAAAAACTTACCACTTTTTAGATATGCGACTGCATAGAATCATAGGGTTGGAAGAGACCCCTGGGGGTCATTGAGTCTAACCCTCTGCCAGACAAGACCAACCCCAAATAAATCATCCCAACCAGGGCTTTGTCAAGCCTGGCCTTAAAAACCTTTAGGAATGGAGATTCGACTACCTCCTTAAGTAGCCCATTCCAGTGCTTCACCACCCTCCTAGTGAACCAGTTTATCCTAATATCCAATCTAGACCTACCCCGATGCAACTTGAGAGCATTGCTCCTTGTTCTCCCATCTGTCACTACTGAGAACAGCCTCTCTCCATCCTCTGGTAGCTGAAGGCTGCTATCTCAATCTTCTCTTCTGTAGACTAAATAATCTCAAAATCCCTCAGCCTCTCCTCATAAATCATGTGCCTCATCCCCCTAATCATGTTTGTTGTCCTCTGCTGGGCTTTCTCCAATGCATCCACATCCTTTCTCTAATGGAGGTCCCAGAATTAGATGCAGTACTCCAAATGTGGTCTCACCGGAGCCAAATAAAGGGGAATAATCACTTCTCTAGGCCTCCTGGCAATGCTTCTTCTAATGCAACCTAATATACTGTTAGCCTTCTTGGCTACAAGGGCACACTGTTGATTCATATCCAACTTCTCATTCACTGTAATGCCAAGTCTTTTTCTGCTGAACTGCTGCTTAGCCAGTTGGTCCCCAGTCTGTAACAGTGCTTGAGATTCTTCCATCCCAAGTGCAGGTCTCTGCACTTGTCTTTGTTGAACCTCCTCAGATTTCTTTTGGCCCAATCCTCCAATTTGTCTAGGTCACTCTGGTCCCTGTCCCTACCCTCTAACATATCTACCTCTCCCCCTAGCTTAGTGTCATCTGCGAACCTGCTGCGGGTGCAATCCATCCCCTCCTCCAGGTCATTAATAGAGATGTTGAACAAAACTGGCCCCAGAACCGACCCACTTGATATCGAACGCCAACAAGACATCGAGCCGTTGATCACTACCCGTTGCACCCAACAATCCAGCCAGCTTTCTGTTCAGTTTAAAATCCATTTATCCAATCCATACTTCCTTAGCTTGCTGGCAAGAAAACTGTGGGAGACCATATTAAAAGCT